CCATACCACTTCCACGACTCGAGACTTTAATAGAAGCCGTTATCGGAAGACTTCGCGATAAGTCTTGTTTTGTCCGCAAATACGCGATTCAATTCTTGAATCAATTCTTAACTAAGAATCCATTCGCTGCTAAACTTCCGCTCGAATTGCTTAAGACTTATCACCGAAAAGAAGACGAAAAACTTAAAGCATTAATGCTTTTATCGGAACAAAACGAGAATCAAACGAGTGATGAAAACACTAACGATTTGCAGCAATTGACGAACACTTGGAATTCAATTGAATTAGAATTCGTTGAGTTTTGGACAGAAATCTTAAAGACTTCTGACGCGTCTTACGATGAAGAGGGCGATGACATTGAAAACCAAACCATTGTTTCCGATTGCGATGATATCGAACCCGTTTTCGATAGATTTCGCGCTTTGATTACGGAAAAGAAGTTCAAAACCGGTCTCTCTTTGCTTAAGAAACTCAGAGAAGAATTTCCAGACAATGACATCATTACACATAGAGATGACGAGGAGATGAATGAAAGCGATGACAATGAGAACACCGACGAAGAGATGGATAGCGAAGACAATCCTAATAATAAATCAAAGAATAAAAGGCAAGTTTTATATTGTTTTTAATATGTATTTTAAAATGAAAATGTTTATAATTGATTCAGTGATGGCCCACAAAGACCTCCACTCCCAGAGACTATCGCTTTGGCTAAAAGAATATTTCTCGGTATTAATGATTTGCTGGTTATTTGTAAAGTATATGTTATTAATCTTTATTTTATATACAATAACAGCGAATGTAACAAATGCTGAGAAATCTATACTTGATTTGGGCTCAAAAGCTGTGGAGAGAGACATCGAAAAGATAGCGACGGTTTTGATTCGGTCGAGTCAACAGACGGAGGAGAACATAGAGTCTCAGAGCAGAGCCCCGACCACAACCATACAAGTGGCCAGACTTTCGATCGACAGAACCGATGGTTCGGCCGAATCTATAGTCAACGATATTAGTCGACAACAGATTCTCGTCAAGTATTTGAGTGATTGTATTAAATTCACTGAACAAATACAGATCGCAGTCCAAATTGTGGTCTTCAGGAAGAAGTGATCCAAAGATGCGATTCTTTCGTTTCCTAATTCCCATCAAATTAGAGGACTTGAGGGACGGTTTGGCCGAAAGGGATGTCTATTCCGTTCAATTGGAGTACAACTCCAGAGAGATCTCAACTAAACTCAATGGTAAGCCATTTATTTGTCGTTTGAATTGTCACTTGAATTGATCCCATCTTCTTGTGTCCCGAAGACTGTGCCGACAATTTCCGCTCGAATGGCATTAACTTTCTATTGGAAGACAATAACTTCGATGTCTTCTACAGTTGTCTTAAGTATGTGTTGATTGAGTGTTAAATATATTTAATTACAATTAATTGATTGATTGAATGAATTGACAGAAACTTCAATACATTGGACGGCAAACAGAGAGACCAGACGTGGAAACTATTGTCGAAATGTATGGATAAGTTGTACACAGAATTGGAGACATTCGTGAACCGGACCGAAATGGACGCCGAAGAGCGCAACAATTACTGCAATCTCTTAAAAATGATTGTTTATGTGTTTTGCACTATCAGTGAGTTGTTTGAAGAGCAGGACATCAAACGCGCGGCAAATATTGATTACGAAAATATCGGCAAAAAGACTAATAAGAAGAGCAAACGGACGGAAGAGTCGTACGATTGGCAGCACAACAAAGAGAGAGGCGTTAGTGTATTGTTGCGATTGCTTTCACTGCCATTGCGTCGGGTCTTCAATCCGCCCGTCGTTGAGGACGAGTTGATTAAGTGAGTGTCCGTTCAGTCGATATCTGGGAATATGTTTATTGACGTGTTTATGTGTTCATTGTTTTAGTGTTATAACGAAGTCTTGTTATAAAATGATTGAAAATCCATTGCTTTCGAGACAAAAAGAGTCCGGTTTTGCCTTAAATTTGTTTCATATAATCGGAACTTCTATTGAAAAATATCGCCAGAGTTTGGGTTTGTATTTATTGTTTGAATTTTATAAACCATTGTTTTTAATGGCTTTTATATTGTTTTATTTTCAGGTTTTTGTTTAAAATTAATTCAATTACTTCAACATAAGGAGCAATTGGTTTCAATATTAGCTCTTTTGGTGGAAACTGTTGTTAAGAAACACAACCAAAAGCTATTGATTAGTGAAATAATGCGCAGTTGTTTGAAGAGCAGGACATCAAACGCGCGGCAAATATTGATTACGAAAATATCGGCAAAAAGACTAATAAGAAGAGCAAACGGACGGAAGAGTCGTACGATTGGCAGCACAACAAAGAGAGAGGCATTAGTGTGTTGTTGCGATTGCTTTCACTGCCATTGCGTCGGGTCTTCAATCCGCCCGTCGTTGAGGACGAGTTGATTAAGTGAGTGTCCGTTCAGTCGATATCTGGGAATATGTTTATTGATTTGTTTATGTGTTAATTGTTTTAGTGTTATAACGAAGTCTTGTTATAAAATGATTGAAAATCCATTGCTTTCGAGACAAAAAGAGTCCGGTTTTGCCTTAAATTTATTCCACATAATCGGAACTTCTATTGAAAAATATCGCCAGAGTTTGGGTTTGTATTTATTGTTTGAATTTTATATACCATTGTTTTTAATGGCTTTTGTATTGTTTTATTTTAAGGTTTTTGTTTAAAATTAATTCAATTACTTCAACATAAGGAGCAATTGGTTTCAATATTAGCTCTTTTGGTGGAAACTGTTGTTAAGAAACACAACCAAAAGCTATTGATTAGTGAAATAATGCGCAAGGTTTTTGTTTAAAATTAATTCAATTACTTCAACATAAGGAGCAATTGGTTTCAATATTAGCTCTTTTGGTGGAAACTGTTGTTAAGAAACACAACCAAAAGCTATTGATTAGTGAAATAATGCGCGAAATAAAGCGAATAGACATTAAAGAACTGTCCAAAGACTCGAGCGGTCCGAAAGCCATCTCTTCATTTCTGGTTGAAGTATCCGATAAGTGTCCGCAAGAGATGTTACCATCGATTAGTGATTTGCTTGACTTTCTTGAAGAGGACTCATATTTGATGAGAAACGCAACGCTCAGTATTATTGGGAATCTAGTCATCAAAGAGTTGAGTAAAGAGGGTTCGAAAGAGCGTCAACTCAGAGACCAATTGTTAGATAAACTCGAAGACCACATCCACGACATCACCAGTTATACAAGAAGTCGAGCGCTGAATGTGTGGTGCACTCTATGTCAGGCCGAAGCCATACCACTTCCACGACTCGAGACTTTAATAGAAGCCGTTATCGGAAGACTTCGTGATAAGTCTTGTTTTGTCCGCAAATACGCGATTCAATTCTTGAATCAATTCTTAACTAAGAATCCATTCGCTGCTAAACTTCCGCTCGAATTGCTTAAGACTTATCACCGAAAAGAAGACGAAAAACTTAAAGCATTAATGCTTTTATCGGAACAAAACGAGAATCAAACGAGTGATGAAAACACTAACGATTTGCAGCAATTGACGAACACTTGGAATTCAATTGAATTAGAATTCGTTGAGTTTTGGACAGAAATCTTAAAGACTTCTGACGCGTCTTACGATGAAGAGGGCGATGACATTGAAAACCAAACCATTGTTTCCGATTGCGATGATATCGAACCCGTTTTCGATAGATTTCGCGCTTTGATTACGGAAAAGAAGTTCAAAACCGGTCTCTCTTTGCTTAAGAAACTCAGAGAAGAATTTCCAGACAATGACATCATTACACATAGAGATGACGAGGAGATGAATGAAAGCGATGACAATGAGAACACCGACGAAGAGATGGATAGCGAAGACAATCCTAATAATAAATCAAAGAATAAAAGGCAAGTTTTATATTGTTTTTAATATGTATTTTAAAATGAAAATGTTTATAATTGATTCAGTGATGGCCCACAAAGACCTCCACTCCCAGAGACTATCGCTTTGGCTAAAAGAATATTTCTCGGTATTAATGATTTGCTGGTTATTTGTAAAGTATATGTTATTAATCTTTATTTTATATACAATAACAGCGAATGTAACAAATGCTGAGAAATCTATACTTGATTTGGGCTCAAAAGCTGTGGAGAGAGACATCGAAAAGATAGCGACGGTTTTGATTCGGTCGAGTCAACAGACGGAGGAGAACATAGAGTCTCAGAGCAGAGCCCCGACCACAACCATACAAGTGGCCCGACTTTCGATCGACAGAACCGATGGTTCGGCCGAATCTATAGTCAACGATATTAGTCGACAACAGATTCTCGTCAAGTATTTGAGTGATTGTATTAAATTCACTGAACAAATACAGATCGCAATTCCGTTGGTTTCGGACCTATTGTTGTCCCGTAATATAACGGACATTCAAGAGGCCATTGAGTTCTTTGTGTCCGCCTATAAGTTTGGTGTGAAGGACGCCATATTCGGTGTCAGAAAATTAATTTTGTTGGTCTGGTCTCAGGAGAAGTCTATCAAAGATTCAGCCGTTTCTGCGTATAAACGCATTTATTTAGACTTTGAAAGCGATGCCAGACTTTCGGAAATGTCTGAAAAACATAAGGCGTTTTCAGTGGTCAAGAGTTTGTCGGAGTTAGTAATGGGCGCCACTTTAGGAGAACTCATTTCGATTGAACAACTATTGAAAGAGTTGATGGACTCGAATGAGATCCAACAGATGCACATTCAGGTCCTTTGGGAGCGGTTTTCCATGAAATTAACGAATACCACATCCGAAGAGAGCAGAGCCGCCATTCAATTGATAGGAATGCTGTCCACATCTAATCCAGAACTGATCCGTTCGAAGGAAAACCTGAACGCAATCATTACCGAAGGATTGGGCGAAAGGGGACGAAAAGATTCACGACTTGTCAGCGAGACGTGCATTGCTTTGGGAAAAGCATATCGGTTGCCAAAGACTGATACATGCGAACAGTTCTACCGTTTGCCCAAAGATCACGAATTATTCACTCATTTGCGGACAATTTTGCTCAACGGTTTGGATAACCTGTCGGACAACTACTACGATATGATGTCCGACAATATAATTAAAGTGATCTTCCAATTGGCAGAACATCCCGACTCTCTTAGCGAACAATTCATACGAGAAATGCTATTAAAGTTAATATCATTGACTCAAAGCGAAGAACTGACGACTGATATGCAGACCGTTTCGTTAGACAACGCGAACAAAGAGAATTGCGAACAGATCTCTAATCAGGACATCACTGAAGCCGATAGACAATCGACTGTTTCGTCCCAACAAACGACGGAACCATTGGTTACGCAAACCATTCGAACCGTTCGTTACCTGAACTCAGAAATATTGGCGCGTTTTATATCAATGATCGGAAACATAGCACTCAATGTCTTAATTCATATCGACTTAAATATTTTGACTGAACTTAAGATAAGAAATTACATCAAAGAAGAGAAGGACAAGAAAAAAGACAAGACTCCCAGAAGAAGGTCGAGAACACCGGGCAAAACGCCCGGCGACCAGAATCTCGAGGAGGAGATCGGGTTGGCCGGAGCTAACGCTATGGAAGACCAGGAACAGGAGTATCTCAACAATATGTGCAATAATGAGATTGTTCTCGGTATTTATGCCTTGGATTTTTACGATTCAATCCGCTCTATAACTAATAAAATATAACATTTTAGGCAATAATCTGTTGGCCCGACTCAGCGAACTAGTGGTCAATATAGCACAGGATCGGGTGGTCTACTCGGATGTGAAACTGCGAACGGCTGCGAGTCTCACATTAGCCAAGTATATGTGTTTGAGTGAAAACTTCTGTCGTCTGCACATAAGACTATTGGCCACAATCATGGAAAAGTCCGAAGAGGCGGTCATTCGCGCCAACACTATCATCGCTTTGGGCGATCTGTGCGTCCGGTTTCCCAATCTGTTAGACCAGTGGTCGACACTTATGTTCCAACGATTACGCGATACCGACGTAACCGTCAAAATGAATACATTGAAAGTGATGTCGCGACTGATCCTCTCGGATATGGTCAAAGTGAAGGGACAGATCAGCGAAATGGCCGCTCTTATGGTCGACCAAAACGAGTTGCTTTCCTCTCATTCGAGGCTCTTCTTCACCGAATTGGGCAAAAAACAAAACGCCGTTTACAACGTATTGCCAGATATTATCAGCCATTTGTCCGACACTGAGACCGGTTTGGCAGAAGAGGACTTCCGAACGGTTATGAAATTCATCTTTGATTTGATCGAAAAGAATAGACAAACCATTTGTTTGGTCGAGAAGTTATGCGAACGATTCCGTAGCACTACGTAAGCGACACTTTTGACACATAAACTATTTGTAAACTAATTGATTATTGTTTCCCCGATTGACGCCCAATAGGGATGACCGCCAGTGGAGGGATTTGGCGTATTGTCTCAGTTTATTGAACTATTCTGAGCGCTCTTTCCTTAAACTACACGAAAAGCTGATCTGTTTTGCGGACAAACTGTGCTGTGATTTCGTCTACGAATGCATTCAAACAATTATAACGACGACTCGAAAGATACCGAACATTAAGAACGAAACGAAACAAATAATCGACGAATTCGAGCACAAAGTAGAGGAATGTCGGACTAAAGGCACCAATGAAGACGACTCTGAGTTCCAGAAAGTGGTCGGCACTCCACAGTCGACTGTCAAACGCACAGCGCGTCAGCCATCGGCTAACAAACGCACCGGTGTTTCATCCAAGAAGAAACCACAACAAAGTAAGACAAAGAGGAAAGTGGTCTCCAAAGGGTCCGAAGAGGACGACACCGACGAAGAGATTGCCACTAATAAACGGATGGTTTCCGGACAGCGATCCGATCGACCACAACGACAGTCCAGACGAGCGCTACCTATCATATCATCGGATGACGAGAGCTCCTCATAATATTTGTTTAAAATATTGAACACTTTTTTGTAGCTATTCTTCACTTTATTATACATTCATTTTATAACATATTCTAAGACTTATTTATGTCTCACTCTTGATGTAAACATTCATCACTTTTAACTCACATTTTTAATTAAATTAAAAACATTCACTCATTGTATATGCGCTACAAATGTTATGTATTACTGTTTCGATAGTGTATATGAGATAACATTTCTCAACTAAAACCCATTACTTTTACATGACATCCATTGGAATTGATAGACGACTTGAACAACAAAAAACAAATGACAGAACAAATGGTTTTCACAATACATTACAAGTTGTGTATTGCGATGGGAGGGGTGGGACTCACAGATCACTGGGACATAGAGTGCATTGCAATGGATGTGTTCAACACATAATCTAAACTACGGATTAAATGGAATCACCGGTAAGTCATTCATCCCTATTTCGGTCGACAATTATTTCAAGACATTGAGTGAAAGGGGACTGAAATGGACTTTTGTTTCCATTTGTCTGTAATAACAAAACTCTGAGAACCGATAAATTTAGTGTAAAATTTCTATCTTTTAGTCGAAATCAAAACAACAATATATAAATTGCAAACAAAACGAAATTTTTTAAAGCAATAAAACCGGGAAAAAGTGTATTGAAAATTGACTCAGCATTTGAGAACCGGGTGTTTGTTTTACACAATGTCTCCTAAATGTGTCTCATAATTGAATTGATTATAATCTATAATATGTTTATATATCTTATATAATTATAAGTGACTTAATTGATTGAATTACTGGATATTTAGATATAGTCTTAAAAATAATTAATTAAATCTATAATAAGCGTAAGAATAGAATCGAAAAGAAGTAAAGTATAGTCGAAAAGAAGAGACCATTTGTTTCAATTAATTCATTGTTAGATTATTTGTGAGGATTTCTGAAACTCTTTCCGGCGTAGAGAGCATTGGCGCCCAATTCCTCTTCGATGCGCAAAATCTGATTATATTTGGCCAACCGTTCCGAACGACAGGGCGCGCCCGTCTTGATCTGACCCGTCGACAGCCCGACCACCAAATCGCCGATAAACGAGTCCTCAGTCTCACCGCTTCGATGGGAAACCATTGTTCCCCAACCGTTAGCTTTGGCCAAATTGTGGCTATAATTGTCACACAAATACACTCATTAAAAACACTGCTAACGAGTAAGCAATTCATTATAACAAAACTTACGCATTGATGGATTCGGTGACACTTCCGATTTGATTCACTTTCAAGAGAAGACAATTACACGCCTTCTTCTCCACAGCGGTTTGGATGCGTTTAGGATTAGTAACCGTCAAATCGTCACTAAAAAGTGATTGTAATTTAAAATATTAGACAAATTGCGGCACAATATTTATTTGATTCACTGTAAGCACAACTGACCCGACAATCTGTATCTGTGTATTGGCGGTGAGTTTAGTCCAGGCGTCCCAATCGTCCTGATCGAAGGGATCCTCAATAGAAACCATTGGATTCTCTTTAATGAATTCCTGATAAAGATTTCCCAATTCGTCGGATGAAATCCATTTGGTTTTATCAGAGTTGGGATTTTTGAAGTCGAGGTCGTATTTGCCCTCTTTGTAGAACTCACTCGCGGCCACATCCATACCGATGTCGATCTTTCCCGCATAACCGGCCAAATCAATCGCTTTGCGGATCAGAACCAACGCGTCCTTATTGTTGAGAATATTAGGCGCAAACCCGCCCTCATCTCCCACTGCCGTCGCGTCCAAACCGAAGTCCTTCTTAATCACATTCTTCAAGTGATGGTAGATTTCTGTTCCCATTTTCATGGCTTCGGTGAAAGAGGTGGCGCCGGTCGGGAGGATCATGAACTCTTGCATCGCCAGCTTATTGCCCGCGTGAGAGCCACCGTTGATCACATTAAAGGCGGGCACCGGAAGAATGATCTTCTTGTTGCCCGAGAGGTCGGCGATGTGTTGATAGAGGGGAACGCCTTTCTTGGCGGCGCCCGCTTTGCACACCGCGAGTGAGACGCCGAGTATGGCGTTGGCGCCCAACCTCTTCTTGTTGGCGTCGCCGTCCAATTGGATCATAAATTCGTCGATTTCTTTCTGATTGATTTCATCCAAGTTCTGAAACAATGCATTCATTTCATTAAAACCTGTTTTTCGTTTCGTTTGTCTGACATTTTAATTACTTTAGCGATAAGTTTTGGTCCGATCTCTGAATTGATGTTATTAACGGCAGTGAACACAGATTTGCCCATATATTTAGTCTTATCGTTGTCTCGCAGTTCTAGCGCTTCATAGATACCGGTGGACGCGCCCGAAGGGACAGCCGCTCTGAATAGACCTAATCATTGGGCAAATTATGAAAACAATATTCATTTCACAAATGTATAGACATTTCAGTAAATTTAGGTTTAATAATTAAAATTAAACTTTAATTACAAATAATGTATTTTTTATCATTTAATAAAAGGGTATAAAAATAAATTGCAATTCATTTCCCTGAAAACCTCAATTAAAAGTAGTATTATATTTGCGGTTATTTTCTTTAAAAATCGTCATTTTTTAAATGCAGTAAAAATTGTAATTTCCTTCAAATTACACTTCAATAGAAATTCAATGAAAAAAGATTAAAAACTATAGTTTTAATGCATTCAACTGTAAACATGTTTTGAGAGAAATTAATTTGTAGTAAAAGCCGGTGTCTGTGTCTAGACTGTAGGCACAGACAACTCCTATAAATTCATATCATTTTATCAATGGTTTCATAAAAATAGTAAAACTATTGTCTGACACAAGAAATGGACATAAAATCATACCCTTATCAGTGGTGAGGTCGACCTCGACGGTAGGGTTACCGCGGCTGTCGAATATCTGACGGGCTTTGATAGTCTTGATCGGCATTTTGGGAACAATTGAACGGATCTATTGAATGGCAAACACACGCTATAAGAGAGACAATTGAATGAATGACTGAATGACTTCACGCCAGCAATGGATTGCATAACACATGTATGAATGCATTGAATGTATCACTGCTTTCACCCTATGTTTGACTTTGACCTACAAATGAAGGACTCATTTCAAGGTCACAGTCAACCCATCCCTCCCTCCCGTCCACTCAATACTGCCATCCATTCAATGCATTCAATGACCAAACAATCAAATCAGCGGTCAATACAATCAAAACATTTACCAAAAGAGTTAACGATTTAATAGTGAATCAATTGAAACAAATGGGAGGAAAAGGAGAGAGACTTTTATAGTAGAGGTTCAGTGAAAATAGTAGTGAAAACCAAATGACAGGCAAAACAGTGCAGAGAGAGAGAGAGAGGGAGAGACGGATTGACCCATAGATGGCAACAATCGACTCATTATTTCATATGTTTTTTGTATTCAATTTTTAGAATTAAATTATTTAAAGTTTTAAAATATTCCTCAAAAACAATAAGTATTTTAATGTTAAAAGTGGTAAATATTCCCCGTTTTTAAGGGAATTTGCGTGCGTTTGAGGGAATGAACGGACGCTATGTTTTAAATGTTACGCAAAGTTTTGTTTTGAAGTTTGAATTAAAGGGACGAAAGAAGTAAACAAAGAGACGAATGACTTAACGATTTGTAAATAAATATAACAAAGTTTTGGACTATATTTCGGTCGTAAAGCAAATCATTGTTAAGAAATATTCATTCATTTTGTGATAATATTTGCAAAAATCGTGGAAATTGTGGACAAAATAATAGACAATCCGATTGTCATATGAATGCGAGGGAAGCGATGGCAACGAAGACCGACCACTGGACGAGTCCTACTCTTGTGGTAATTGTTTTGCTTACAAATGGTTTCGTATATAAGTTGCCAAATGACACCAATTGTCTCATTAGATCCGTTCATTTGGTCCAAAGTTGGTGCCGTTCTTCAAGACTGTGGCCATATATCTGGTTTTGGCCGATCGGGAGAGTCCCTCGTGGCTCACGTGTCTACTCAAGTGTTTGCCCATTATATGGCTGTCCATATTTGTTGTCCTTCACGGCATCAGTTTCGGTGATAAACACGTCTACTCTCGAAGAATACTAATTGGTTTAGTGCTGTCGTGTATCGGAGACGCTCTACTCGTTTGGCCAAAATGTTTCTTATGGGGAATGTTATCGTTTGCTCTCGTATTACAAACACTATCTCTCTTTCGGTACAATTGTCTCACTTTTTTTGATCCATTTTAAGGCTCACATCTCATACATCACTGCATTTGGTTTTCATCCAATCAATGGTAGCGCCGGTACTCTCTGTGCTCTATTGGGAGCAGTGGTTCACTACATAATGTATCCCAATCTCAAAGGTATTGATTTTATACTGTTTTGTTTCAATGCGTGACCACAATATGATCACATAATTAGGAACAATGAGTTTAGCGGTTCCCATATATAATGTGCTTCTGTTGGTAATGGTGTGGAGAGCGGTGTCAAGAGTGCAACTCTTTGAGGATCTGTGGACGTGGACTAAACTGTGCTCGTGTTTCGGGGGAATACTGTTTGCCATTTCGGACACAGCGCTCGGCCTCCGAGAGTTTGGTCTCATCGCACATCTGGTGTCGAGCCGTCACTGCCAGCTGTTGGTTATGATCACCTATTATGCCGCACAGTTTGGCATCGCGTTGTCCGTTGTGGACACCAATGGGCTCAACGGTTCCCAAAGTGACAAACGAGTCGACAAAGACACACGCAGTTAGAGTTATATGAATAATAATAATTACGATAAGAATCTATTGAACCAAAACCGGTACCAAATTATATGTAAAAATACATTCAAAACTCATTCCAAAAGCAATCAAATTAGAGATTAAATACAATTTCACATTCCAAAGTCAAAAATTGTTTACTAAAAACACGGTTAATAACTTATTAAAAGATACATAACAGTAAACTAAAAATTCAGTTATCATCTAGAAATCAATGTACATAAAATTTGATTTCAATGTAATAAAATTGTGATTATAATTTGAATAAATTAAATGTCTTTCGAAACATAAGAGTACTGTTTGGTAATTATTTCACAAATTATATAAAATGTTATAAAAATGGATTGAATTAGTATTTAACTCGTGAATGAATTAGTGAACACTTGTTTCATACAGACTCTCACCTCATGTTTTACAAACTGAACACCACTGTAGTGTCAATGCATTGAATACTGTAATCGATTTTGTCATTCATTTGGCGCCACTTCTTCTCATTTCTTCCCAACACTTCTCAATACATTTCAATGGATTTAAAACTTTTAAAAATGTGAAAAGTGTTTGCAAAGACTGTAATCATCTCTTATTCTCTCCACTCCATTGCCTAACTGTCACTCTATTCGCTGTCTCTCTTTGCATCCATTTTGGAAATCAGTGACTGATTAGTGAGTATTTTAATTATATTAATTAATAATTGGATTGTTTGATGAATGCATTGAATGTCTAGAGAATGACGGCCACATCGGAAGTGGACGGGGGTTCGGCGGAGATTGAAGCGTTGAATCAACTCTTACAAGACATCTATCAAATGGTTGAGAAAGTGCGAGCGTTGCAACATTTCTGGCAACGATTATTCGGTTCCGATTTGGATCCCGATTCTTATATTTTTGAATCACTGTCTCCATATGAATAGCAGCAACTCATTAGTAGTCATTACATTTAGTGCACAATGCATTACATCATCATCTCATAAAATTTATGACATAAATACATCTCATTAATTGTATAACAAATTGTTTTTCATCTAAAATGTTATGTTTTTTAATTGAAATTATTCATTATTTCTTACAAATTAATTTATACGACAAATAATAAACAAATTATATATAAAATGTAATGAAAATGATTTAAGGATTAAATAAATAAATTTACAAAAATTGTGGCGATTTATAAAGACTTGATCTCCGATTAGGAATAATTCCCTTATGTCTTAGCCGTCGGACGGCTTCCCGGATGTGTTTGGGCTGAAGAGGTCCTGTTTCGCCATTTTGTTCCATCACATCCAACCCTTCCTCCACTACTTCGCCCACAAATACTT